CCCCTAGTCATAATTGAGTACGAATAGTATTAGTTACGACTACATTATTCCGTACTTGAAGTCCGAGTCTGGGTGGGGAGCCTACAGAACCGTTGGACAGCCTGCTATTGGCCATGGCATTTGCTGATTGTCAAAAACATCTGATTGAAAACTTCTAGTGTAGACATCGCACTGACAGCTTCTGTAAAGATGGGAAACCCACAAATTGCACACATGCGTAGCACTGTACTTCCTCAATGGTGTAAACTTCCGGTCCGATTCACATGTTATGGGACCTTAGAATCCCCTTCAGCTGCAGTTTCTGGTCTATATGAGGGAATTTGAAGTAATTAATGCAATCAATCATTACCAGATAATTTACATACACTGAGGCTATCTATCCGATTGAAATTGCGTCTATTTAACTGAATGCACAGGCTCCATGTATGCAGCCGAAGTTGAAGTTAGGCACAAATGTGTAGCGTATACTTTAAAGAGTTATCTCCCTGCTCTTTTCTTTCGCAAGGCCTATAAGTAAAGTACACTGCTCCAATTACTGATAATAAATAATGTTCTATTTCATCATAGACACGTATATTAGAACCAGTGCCACGAATTTACTGCTTGCAATTTAGATGACAATGCAACACCTGCACTTTGATATCTTCATATATATATATACAGTACAGTACTGTAACTGTCATAAATATTGTACATAATAAAACAATACACATACAAAATGTAGCATAGTGGATATAGCAAGAAAACAACATTCTAGGATTTACAAATATAATCCTACAAAATGAAGTGATCACTGCTGTAAATAGAAACATATTTGGTAAATTAAAATAAATTTCCTTCTAATACCAAGTGTCTCAATGGGAGAAATAATGACTTTTAAAAATCTAGTTGATAATTCTCAACTTGAATTGTCAGCTTGATTTAACACTTTATTAGCCAATTTCTTAGCCCAGTTCCTCTGCAATTTTTAGGCTCCAGTGACCAATATCATAATTGCAGTTTATTTGTTCATTCCAGATTAGTATAATATGTATGATACCAGGTAATACATTTGTGTATGATAAAAAAATAACTGTCAGTCTCAAAGTTATGCATGTACTAAATAAGGACATAAATGATGAATGTCGACCTTGATCTTGCATGTTTAAAGTTTTTGGTGTGTGTGTGTTTTTTTTAAATCGGATTAAAAAGTTGATAACTTATACCACAGACTTGGATAACAATCTAATTCTGTGCTTTAATATATAAGCTGGTTTTTTTGTCAATTCCTATAAAAATAGGTTGTAAAAAATCATTAAACCACACTAAATTATGGCTTAATCCAATATCAAATATTATTGCACCTTTTCAGATCAAAACAGGAAAAAACAAAGTTTCTTGTAAAAAACGTTAAACAGTAGTCCGTAATCTCAAATGTCTCAAAAGTCTCGATGTGAAACAGAAGAGTCTTCTGTATATAGTTACATGTGCCTGTAGCTACAAAAATGTAAACAGACAGCAATTAAGATATAAAGTACATGTATTGATATGTCCAGCTGAAGTGGATCACAGGATGTCCATGAGGAGGGAAGTACTGGCAGTGTACAAACGTGCCCTTAGGCTAGCTAATGACTGGGGAAAGTATGCCTCGCAGCCTGAAGGTGTTCTTACAGAAAAGGAGTACATACGAAGTGAATCCAAAAAACTATTTCGAAAAAACAGATACGTAAGGTTTACTTCAGTTTTCAGAGTTTTAAGAATATTTAGGTTGTAAAATGGAGATTTGTTTTTGTGAACAGAAATATATATCTCCCCTTAATACCCAATATTTGATTGGCACAAACTAAAGTACATCAATGCACATCTGTTTCATCATGATAACTTTGAAAGTTCAAATGTTTCAAAAAGTTTGCACTTGTTTTACTTTAGACCTAGATGTGAAGGTCATGATAACCAGGAGTAGTACACTGCACTTCACACCATGTGTTGGTGCGCAGGTACACTCTAAGTTTAATGTAGACAAATGGTGAACAGTTACAGAATTGCAGTCATTCAACCTTTGACCTAGAGGTCAAAAATATTCTAAATATTCAAAAGTTACAATTTCAACAAAATTTTGCAGAAAATTTTGCAGATATTTGACTTTTGATCCTTAGATAAGGTCATAGTGACATTATTACAGTGCACGGCACACCTCCTTTAGGCGATACAGTTGTACTTAAGTTTTATAAAGATATAAATTATGATAAAAGTTACGGCCCAGATAACATTATATCAGAAGAACTAGAAGAAAAGACCAGTACTAATACAATGTACATATATTTAATTTTGCATCATGACCTCAATATGGTTAAAAATAGATTCATCCTGACATACAATTTTAAACATGATTGTTTGGATTTATGTGGTACATGTATTCATTAGGTTGTTGATTTTGCAGATTTCTGATGATGTGATGATTCAAGATCACATCAAAGAAGCTGAAACAAGAATAGAAATGGGTAGGTGTTGCTGTCATGTGAATGTGGACAGTTTCTTCTGGCACAGGCTTACTCTGTTGGTAGATTTCTGGAGTGTTTGTCTGAAATTTGGAGGGTTTTGGGTTTGAATATAGGCTGGCCAGTTAATTACATTGTCCCTATCATATCAAGATATAACAGACTTATCTGCATCATGGGGACATAATTGTTAAAACTCATGTTATTATTGACATAATACAAGACTGTCTGACAGTAAAACTATTATATAGAATTGCTAGTAAATATATTTGTATTTGATTTAAGTGATATGTTGTTTTTCCTTTTTTACAGCTATTCATTACAAGACACCTTACCCAAGGCCTGTAAGTAGTTCAGGTTACTTCTACCTCACTGTAGGATTTCAAAAAATGGAAAATCTGAACCTGTCGCCATTTTCATCGAACCATTTTTTTCAATCCATGTGGGTAACATTGTTATACAATGTATATAAATATGCATGGACCTTGTGGCTAAATGTAGGAAACACATCACAAATCCACATTATACCACATTAAATCTGTCAGTAATTATCACAGTCCCACTTAGCAGGTTTAATGGCCAATTAACACAATAGGGTTGAACAGGGTTACATGGTAATGAGAACAGTCCATGAACACAATATGGATGCGCAGTATCACAAATGATTTCATGTAGTTTATTTTTTTGTTGAATCAGAATATGTTTACTGTTCCAGGTCAACATACCTCAGAGTGTCCTCCCACCTTTAAGTGCCAAGTTAAAGAAAGGTCAGCGGAGGTCAATTAAACAGTCTAAACCTATATATCTGAAGTCCTACGACGACATTGAAACGTGATCATGTGACACGCTAGGACATTGATAACATACAGAGATTCTCTGTTGCATATCTGTACAGTGGACAAACACATGTCAATGGTGTAGACATGTCACCATGTGCAGTAGTACCACGTACAGTAAAGGCATGTATTGGCATCAGTGTGTTTAAACTAAACAGTTAAATACTTGTGTGATGTGATCTACTGTGAACAGTGATGCATATTTTTGAACAACAAAGTTGTTGAGAATGTGTATGGTTCAATATAGATGCCACGAAAAGACATGACCTTTATTATAATGTTTCAAATATAGCAACTGAAAGTTGCAAATCTTAATTAGCATTTTGATGTAATTTAATATGTAATTAATGTGATTATCATCACATATATATATATACATATACACTGTAGTAGTTCTGTGTGGTTTTGTGAATATCCTATACAGGTAACAAGGTACTGTTTGGTGCATTGTTAGCATCTCTAGATAGCAGGTAAAACTGTATAGAGTGCTGTACAATCTACATCATACATGTGTTGTAAGTTTCACTTGACTTCATGCAGATTTGAGTTCCTGCTGACCATTTCCTGATCATAAAATCTGTTTGAAACCACCAGTTTTGTATTTTTGAAGTTGTTTTTCAACACAATAGATATTTTAGGTATATTTTGACATTTTAGATATAACTTTGAATGTGATATTTATAGCCAAGTCAAGGGATGGGACATCTAGATTGTGGATAGCTTGATTGGGATAGACAAATGGTGAGACAGCTGGACAGTCAGGGGGTTGAACATGTAGATTGTGGATAGCTTGATCGGAATAGACAAATGGTGAGACAGCTGGACAGTCAGGGGATGGAACATCTAGATTGTGGATAGCTTGATCGGAATAGACAAATGGTGAGACAGCTAGACAGTCAGGGGATGGAACATCTAGATTGTGGATAGCTTGATCGGAATAGACAAATGGTGAGACAGCTAGACAGTCAGGGGATGGAACATCTAGATTGTGGATAGCTTGATCGGAATAGACAAATGGTGAGACAGCTAGACAGTCAGGGGATGGAACATCTAGATTGTGGATAGCTTGATCGGAATAGACAAATGGTGAGACAGCTAGACAGTCAGGGGATGGAACATCTAGATTGTGGATAGCTTGATCGGAATAGACAAATGGTGAGACAGCTAGACAGTCAGGGGATGGAACATCTAGATTGTGGATAGCTTGATCGGAATAGACAAATGGTGAGACAGCTAGACAGTCAGGGGATGGAACATCTAGATTGTGGATAGCTTGATCGGAATAGACAAATGGTGAGACAGCTAGACAGTCAGGGGATGGAACATCTAGATTGTGGATAGCTTGATCGGAATAGACAAATGGTGAGACAGCTAGACAGTCAGGGGATGGAACATCTAGATTGTGGATAGCTTGATCGGAATAGACAAATGGTGAGACAGCTAGACAGTCAGGGGATGGAACATCTAGATTGTGGATAGCTTGATCGGAATAGACAAATGGTGAGACAGCTAGACAGTCAGGGGATGGAACATCTAGATTGTGGATAGCTTGATCGGAATAGACAAATGGTGAGACAGCTAGACAGTCAGGGGATGGAACATCTAGATTGTGGATAGCTTGATCGGAATAGACAAATGGTGAGACAGCTAGACAGTCAGGGGATGGAACATCTAGATTGTGGATAGCTTGATCGGAATAGACAAATGGTGAGACAGCTAGACAGTCAGGGGATGGAACATCTAGATTGTGGATAGCTTGATCGGAATAGACAAATGGTGAGACAGCTAGACAGTCAGGGGATGGAACATCTAGATTGTGGATAGCTTGATCGGAATAGACAAATGGTGAGACAGCTAGACAGTCAGGGGATGGAACATCTAGATTGTGGATAGCTTGATCGGAATAGACAAATGGTGAGACAGCTAGACAGTCAGGGGATGGAACATCTAGATTGTGGATAGCTTGATCGGAATAGACAAATGGTGAGACAGCTAGACAGTCAGGGGATGGAACATCTAGATTGTGGATAGCTTGATCGGAATAGACAAATGGTGAGACAGCTAGACAGTCAGGGGATGGAACATCTAGATTGTGGATAGCTTGATCGGAATAGACAAATGGTGAGACAGCTAGACAGTCAGGGGATGGAACATCTAGATTGTGGATAGCTTGATCGGAATAGACAAATGGTGAGACAGCTAGACAGTCAGGGGATGGAACATCTAGATTGTGGATAGCTTGATCGGAATAGACAAATGGTGAGACAGCTAGACAGTCAGGGGATGGAACATCTAGATTGTGGATAGCTTGATCGGAATAGACAAATGGTGAGACAGCTAGACAGTCAGGGGATGGAACATCTAGATTGTGGATAGCTTGATCGGAATAGACAAATGGTGAGACAGCTAGACAGTCAGGGGATGGAACATCTAGATTGTGGATAGCTTGATCGGAATAGACAAATGGTGAGACAGCTAGACAGTCAGGGGATGGAACATCTAGATTGTGGATAGCTTGATCGGAATAGACAAATGGTGAGACAGCTAGACAGTCAGGGGATGGAACATCTAGATTGTGGATAGCTTGATCGGAATAGACAAATGGTGAGACAGCTAGACAGTCAGGGGATGGAACATCTAGATTGTGGATAGCTTGATCGGAATAGACAAATGGTGAGACAGCTGGACAGTCAGGGGATGGAACATCTAGATTGTGGATAGCTTGATCGGAATAGACAAATGGTGAGACAGCTAGACAGTCAGGGGATGGAACATCTAGATTGTGGATAGCTTGATCGGAATAGACAAATGGTGAGACAGCTAGACAGTCAGGGGATGGAACATCTAGATTGTGGATAGCTTGATCGGAATAGACAAATGGTGAGACAGCTAGACAGTCAGGGGATGGAACATCTAGATTGTGGATAGCTTGATCGGAATAGACAAATGGTGAGACAGCTGGACAGTCAGGGGATGGAACATCTAGATTGTGGATAGCTTGATCGGAATAGACAAATGGTGAGACAGCTAGACAGTCAGGGGATGGAACATCTTGATTGTGGATAGCTTGATTGGGATAGACAAATGGTGAGACAGCTGGACAGTCATTGGATGGAACATCCATATTTTGGATAGCTTGATTGGGATAGACAAATGGAGGTAGAGCTGGACAGTCAGGGGATGGAACATCTTGATTGTGGATAGCTTTATCGGAATAGACAACTGGTGAGACAGCTGGGCAGTCAGGGGATTGAACATCTAGATTGTGGATAGCTTGATCGGAATAGACAACTGGTGAGACAGCTGGACAGTCAGGGGATGGAACATCTAGATTGTGGATAGCATGATCGGAATAGACAACTGGTGAGACAGCTGGGCAGTCAGGGGATGGAACATCTTGATTGTGGATAGTTAGGGCCCCTTATCGGAGATACGCGTGCCCTATAGCAATCACTCTGTCTGTCTGTCTGTCTGTCTGTCTGTCTGTCTGTCCACAAATTTGGTTCTTGGCTGATAACTTTGGTATTTATTGACCGATGTACATGAACCTTGGTCAAGATGTTCAGTTTACAAAAATACACATTTAGATAAAAAGTCAAGGTCAAAGGTCAAGGTGATCAGGTTCAAAGGTCAAGGTCAAATTTTACATATTTTCACTGATAAACATTTTGTTATGACATTATGAAGCAAAGTTGATCAGAATTGAACAAGGAGTCAACTGACCAAAGGTCAATGTCATCGGGTCAGCGGTCAAGGTCAAATTTTGTAGCTTTTCACTGGTGAACATTTCGCTATGACATTATGAAGCAAAGTTGTTCAGATTAAACAAAGAGACACACTGAGGTAAAAAGTTGAGGTCAAAGGTCAAGGTCATTAGATTCAAAAGTCAAGGTTAAATTTTGCATCTTTTCACTGATGAAAATTTTGTTATGACATGATAAAGCAAAGTTGATCAGAATTAAAGAAGGAGTCAACTGACCAAAGGTCAGGGTCATTGGGTCAGAGGTTAAGGTTACATTTTTATCTTTTCACTGGTGAACATTTCGCTATGACAATTGCTCAGAATTAAACAAGGAGTCAATTGACCTAAGGTCAAGGTCACTGGGTCAAAGGTCAAGGTTAATTTTTGTACCATTTCCCTGATGAACATTTTGTTATGACATTATGAAGCATTGTTGTTCAGAACTTAACACAGAGTCAACTGGCCTTAGGTTCAGGTTACGGGGTCCAAAGGGTCAAGGTAAATTTTTGTATTTTTCACTGATAAACATTTTGTTATGATATTATGAAGCAAAATTGGTCGAAAGAATAAGTCAACTGACCAAAGATCTGGGTTAATGGTCAAGGTCATTTGGGTACAAAGGTGAAAGACAAAGTGGATCTCTGACTTTGACCCTGGCACTTGATGGAGGAGGTATATAAGGTGAAATAAAACAAACCAAAGCTAACAAATGAGTATTGTAGCGGTATTTACATTTCTGTTAGCCCAGCAAATATGGAGGTGGAAGGAAACAAGACTCACATCATAGTACATGTAAAATGTATATTTTGCTTCCTTGCGATTCTTTTTGAAGTCAAAATGTCAAACGTCAAGCTCAGCTATATGGGAAGATTGCTTCTTGATGATTATGGGGGATATATTGCCACAAGACGGTGCCCTTACTGACCTGTCAGTGTTCAAGTTTGATTGGGATAGACAAATGGTGAGACAGCTAGACAGTCAGTGGATGGAACATATAGATTGTGGATAGCCTGATCTGAATAGACAAATGGTGAGACAGCTAGACAGTCAGGGGGTTGAACATATAGATTGTGGATAGCTTGATCGGAATAGACAAATGGTGAGACAGCTAGATAGTCAGGGGCTGGAACATCTTGATTGTGAATAGCTTGATTGGAATAGACAAATGGTGCGACAGCTGGGCAGTCAGGGGGTTGAACATGTAGATTGTTGATAGCTTGATTGGGATAGATAAATAGTGATACATCTATGGGATAGTGGTATATTTTGACTATAAGATATGGTCCAATTATACCAACATCTTATATTTATTCATTGAAAATTGACAAAGTAACATACATGTTATATGACAATATACAAACTGAAATTCAAAAGATAAATTGTATTGTAAAGTAAGGGTTATGCTGGAGTTGACTTCCCTTTGCGTCTCTACGCTCATTTACTTATCTTAAGCTACTTAAGAAAGATGACCATCATACGAAATACAGAAAAAGGAAGAATTTTACAATTGACACATTATAAAGTTTAGGTTAAGACATCACTAGTAATTAAGTTTGCACATTCTGAATATACAAGTTTCAGATTTTATGCGAAAGTCATCTAACTCCGATGAATTCAACTCATGCTCTACATTTCCTCCAATGAGGATATATGAAACGGATCATACGCAGACATGGAATGTAAAACATTATGTCTTTTATATCTATAATATCATTTTAGTACACCTGGTGTTTTATTTCAACGGTATACACTACACTGATTTTATGATTGAGGGCCATGTCACCTAAATCAATAAATAAACTATATTATAATGCATGTCTTATTAAAGATGTTTCTAACCAATCAGCCACATTTATAACACCACAATACCATATGGTCACACTTAACTCGGTCTAAGGGGTCGTATTCTAGTAAAGCATAAAGGGCACATTACGCCCTAGTCCAATTATTCTGACGTTTTATCGACTTTTTTTTATATCGGTCTGTCGTCGATTAATCGACGGCAGACGATATAAAAAAAGGTCGATAAAACGTCAGAATAATTCGAACTAATTACGCCCCAATTGACCTAACCATTAATAAAACACTTTTATGTGGGTCATTTTGTAGGATTCACTCACGTTAAAAAGGAGATGTGTTATAATGATGGTGAATTATTTTTATGAATGGATCAGCTTTAATTCTTTATAATAGAACTTAATTGCTATGGAAACACAAGATTCAAACTCAACCAAAGAGTATCACTAGACCTCTCAATCGTCTTAGAAGTAGGCTGTAAGGATATTACGGCATCACTGGGTAAAAACAACCATTCACTGATATCCTTTAATGGTCATCTCTACACGGATATACCGGAGTCTACAGGCACAGAAACTTCATACAATGTACCAAGGAGACAAATGAACCAATGTCATAGACATCGACTTGCTAAATGGGGAAACTATCGTGGAATCGAAAGACACGCAAGAAGTTCGGGATGCAGACAACATAAACTATATGACAGACAAACCGGCAAGCAAAGCAAACCCAGAAAGGGAAGCTAGCAAGGATTGGATTACCAAGGAAGCAAGAACAGCCAATAAAAAGGAAATACAAATAAAATATGAGAACTTGGGCAAGAACTAGAGAAACTTGGCAGAGGTGGGTAATGGAACCAGAAAAAAATAACATAACACTACTTGGAAAAGAAAACATTAGAAGAGGCAAATAAGGTATATAGATCTGCAAGTATGTGAGATAAAAAATTGAAAATTGGAATGGGAGATCTAACAAACGAGAATGGCGGAAGTATCGGACTCGGAACAGAGGTCAGAAATACTGAAAAAATCCTTTGCCAGTATGTTTAAAGGAGAAAACTTAGATGGTATACCAAAATTATAAGATATCAGGCTGAGATTAACAAAGTGTTTAACATGTAATACTGTAAATGAAATAAATAAATACCTTATAAAACAATTCTAATTATTACACTTTATAATTATAATATTAAAATTCATTCAAAGTCTTACACACAATATATATATATATATATCCCTGTTACATATGTATTGTCAATAAAATACTTTTGAATTGAATTGAATCTGGAATTGGGAGGGGTGGTCATTATACATTTATTTAACACATAGCGAAGCCATGAGTAGCTATCGTGAGGAGAAGGTAGTGTAATTGCTAGGTGCTGTGTTGTATATTACTGTTTATTTACTCGTCTGGATATCCATGGTAAAATAAATGTACTTATAATTGCGTATTTGCTTTTCTTACAAGTAGAGAACCTGGGAGGCAAGGTAGTCTAGTCAGGTAGGACGCCGTGCTCGTGATCGACAGGTTGCGGGTTCGAGTCACGGCACGGCACTGTGTTGTATCTCTGAGCAAGAAACGTTCCAGTTTACTCAGCTGTAAATGAGTACGTGGTTGGGCAGTACTAGAATATTGTCGAATGATAGCTGTGATTGCCGAAATGGCAGCACTGGCTGTATGCTCACCATGGAGTTGAGAAAGATGTTGGCTTAAATAAGGTGCAAAGGCCCTATATCCACGAATAATAATTTGTGAACCGCTTTGAGAACTATACGAACTAGGTTGTGATAAAGCGGTATATAAGAACCTCGAATTATTATTATTAGTATTATTATAAAATCTATACATGCTCAGACCGAAGCTGCCTTATCGTTATTCATGTTGCAAACATTTTTTCTTAACCTCGCATGGAACCATAATACATCTGTCACAGAAAAAATACAGTACAATGCATCAACGCACATGATTATATAAAAAAAATCTTTAAAAAGGAATTATTATATTTTCTTTCATAAAATTTATTACAAAAAACTGATTTCTCCTGATATTATTCGTCAAGCTTTGTGAAATCGACTCGTTGTTTTGCGATTGTTAGTTAACTCACGGACTTAGATAGGTCCGGGGTTAACTCACGGACTAAGATAGGTCCGTGATTAACTCACCGACTTAGATAGGGCCGTGGTTAACTCACGGACTTAGATAGGGCCGTGGTTAACTCACGGACTTAAAATCGATGCGTGCTACTTTCGTTTCAAACTTTACGGTACCCCTTTTCGGCCTCTCTTGCCAGGGTCAAGGATTCCTGCAGTCGCTAGTGACAGACAAGTGTCGTGCGTCCTTTGTATCTCTCCTACCAGCACTGGTTGTTTATTTGGCAACCGGTACATCCACCGACACATACTTGACCGACTTTCCTCACACACGAGCACTCAATATTGTTTTTTTTCTCAAGACTGGAGGTGAAGGAGACCTTTTTTGCCATAACACAAACGTAGGCCCGGCAGTAACTTGAGTAAGTAGATTAATCCGTCCATTGTCAATCGAGGTCTACATACTGTAAGGCTAAGTAAACTGTTTTCACGAAATCAAGTAATATTTATTTATGCATAAAGCTGGTGGACGATAACAATTCTGAGGTTTGTATATTATTTGTGTACGGCTGTTATTTCTAGACGTCACGTCACTTTCTTGTGCCTCATATGAAGGGGCACCTGACGGGGAAGTTAATTATCCCGGAGTAGCTTTAGTCTATTAGTGAAGTCATTTACCATCGGTCTACTTCAGAAAGGGAAAAAGGTTAAGCATTCTAAGAATACGTTAAAATTATGTTTTGCACTGATTTAAGTAATATTAAAATTTAAACGGTCTTGATAAGGCAGGGATTGACCCTAGGAACATGAAAATTAATTTCATCTCTTCTTCTTCCTAGCTGTTGCAGATTTTATTGTACATATGATAACAGTCGCCTTCTAGCCTCACGCTATCTAGATCTAAAGCATCCAGCTAGGAAGTCTGGGATCTCTGGTTCGATCCCTGTCGGAAGCACACTTTTCTCAGTCTGGGATCGCTGGTTCGATCCCTGTCGGAAGCACACTTTTCTCTCGTGTATAATGTCACAGGCATAGTAGATACATTTGATGTAAAACTTATGTTTCAGTACCTGTGGACCTATTGTGTAGAGAGTCTAGATGTGAAAGGTTTAGATCAATACTTGATAAAAATGTCACTGTGGTGATATTAGCCTACTCTCTACACATCAAGATAGGTTCAAACTCAAAGTCCCAAATAACTTTATCCTTTGATTTTTTTAGCCCACCATCATCAGATGGTGAGCTGTTTAAATTGTCCTTTGTTCGTGGTCTGTCCCTGGCCATTCATTTGTTAGTGCTATTTCTCAAAAATTACTGGCAGGATCCTTCTCACATTTCATCTGAAGATATGGTTCCTAGTGCACAAAACAAATTTTGGGTCTACTAAGAAAACCATGATGGCCAAAAAGCAGCCATCTTGAATTCTGAGAGTTGAAGTTGCTTAGCAATATTCCTTGGAAACTAAGTACTAGAAGAATCATTCTCAAGTTTTACCAGAAAGTTCCCCATGGTTCCTAGTTGTGCATATCAAATTTTAGGCCTGGTCTAAAAACTGAGATGGCTGATACAAGATAACAAGATACAAGAATCTTTATTTAGAGTCGCATACATATCAATATGGAACATTAGCTCTTGAGAGCTATTTTTGCAACAAACACAAGTATATAAATTAACAATAACATAATGCAATAGTATTAGTAGAAATGAGTTAATATAAATAGCATACATGTAGCAGACATTTTTTCAGTACAGAAAAATACACAGTTATGTCACATGTATAGTTAGGCAATCAATTGCACAATTTTTTGATATTATCACAAGGCTTGACACTTATTTATGTTATGTTTTTTATATAAAATTCAGAGGTTTGACACATATTTATGAACGATGTGTTTCTACACTGAATGTTAAAACACTATCTGTAATTTATACAAGTGTAGTATACATACATGCTAATATAGCAAAGGGTAAAAATTGACATGATATACACTAACATAGTGTGGATTAAAAACAGCATTTCATGTAGTAAAGAAGAATAAAATAAAGAGAAAAAACTAATAGTAACATAAGTAGTAAGATTTGATTCAATACATGAAATATTATATTAATCCCAGCAATTCATATCACAGTCTATTTTCCTGAAAAATGTTAAATCTGAGTTTAGCACTAAAATGGTTAAAAGTCAGTCAGCAGAGGTGCGACAGATGGAACAGCTACAGATGGGTCCACTCCAGGTGTGGATCATTCTGCTGAAACCCGGAAAGTTGTCTTCCTTCCTGAACTCATTTGGAAGAGTGTTCCACACCCTAGTAGCCTCAAATGTGAAAGATAAAATGATAGGCAACCATCTTTAATTTTGAGTGTAAAAAGTTTGCTAACGCTTTTCCTCATTAAGTATTTGAAGTACCTTTCTCAATTTTGACATAAAAAAGTTCCCCATGGTATTTTTGAAATCAAATTTTGGGACTGATAGGAAACCAAAATGGCCGAAAGGATGCCATCTTGAATTTTGAGAGTCAAATTTTGTTTCACTATTTCTCATGTTACACTTGACAGATCTTTATCCAATTTCGTACATTAATTTTCATAGGTTCTAAGTTGTGCATGTTTCATTTTGAGGCTGATAATAAATAGGAAAAGGCTACCAGGCAGCCTCTTGGAATTCGACAGTTCCAGTTTGTTATGTTATCACTATTTTCCCAAGACGTGCTAGACTCATCGTTCTTTAACTTCAAACTTAGGTTCCCCTTGTTAGAGGTTAAGCACTATGCTGGTGAAAAGGTCAAACAACAATTTCACTTTGAAAGAACAGCAGTATGAAGTTCTGATTTAGAGTTACCATAAAATATATTAACTGTTTACATGACTCAATCCAACAGATAAACGACAAGAAGAAAAAATATCAATCTTGCATAGATTCTGTGAAGATGGTTTGATGGTTGACACCAAGATCCCCTCTGCAATATCTTGTTTGATAATGATAATAAATTAATTATTTAATGAGGGTAACATGTTTATTTTTGGTGGGGCAGAGATAGCCCAAACCTCACCCATAAGTTTTTTTGAAAAAAATATGAACCATGTTTGGTTCACGTTTCACTTAAGGATCCCTGTCTGGCTGTGCTGTCACTGCTGTGTTTTATTTGTATACAGTAACCCCAACCTAGTTTCATTTTAGGTATAGGACTGTACACAGCTGGGCCAGGACACTTCCATTGGCCAGGTCCATGCATGGAGACTGATAGAATAACAAACTGAGGTCCAGGGTTGGAAACACGATTTAGACCTGCTGAATGATCTATTTTGTTTATTTTATTTTGAATAATTTTTATTCATAAAAAAGACCTGGTCTTTTTCAGAAATGCAGAGGTACAGGGATCCTTAATGATTCCTTGTATACCAGAGCAATCTCCACAGACTTTCCATAGATCTGTAACTGCTCTGATAAATATGTAAACAAAGTCCATTAAAAAAAAATATTGCCAGTTTTTCACATGGGGGTAGATTTTGTCAATTTTGCTGGTCGAAGATGTCATGAAATCTTACAAGACAAATGATGTTTTCCAAAATATGTGTTTATAAATTAAATTTCAATTCAATAGTATTTCTAGTTTAACAAATGAAAGACAGTTGAGTTATGAAGACAATGCCAAGAGTCTAATTTAGAGATGTTTTTTTTTCTGTTTTTAGTCATGACAGTGTTCTTCAGTCATACCAGTGTGAAGCAGTTTGTGGCGGTGCACCTGTTTGAGGTGGGCTATCTTGGTGTACTGGCCGTGCTTCCTTTCCTGGTTGCCAAGCCTCTCGTAGGATTGTCCATTCTAGCTGTACTGGCTTTTCTCAGCTTAAGTGCTATATGGAGAATGCTTACATTCCGGTGCGTGCCCAATCTGGAGACAAGGTCTGTGCTCATCACTGGCTGCGACACAGGTAATGAATTGACCCAGCGTCTGAAGTCCATGCTTAGTCTTTCTTTCTGATTTGTAAAATCAGTTGTTGATTGTTGATTGTTCATTGATATTAGAAAGGTTATGTTTGTATGGAGGATTTCTTTTTATTGTTTGTCTGGTGAATGTTACTATAAAATACAGCCAGTTTTCATGCCATAAATTACAAGGTTCTATATTTCTCATGTGCATTAAAAGAAGGTACAATTTCTAGTACTTGCCTGCAGGCAGATTTTGCAAGTTTTACTATCCAGGTTGAATTTTTGTATTAAATGTTGAAACTTTTCACAAGCTTTGCCATGGAGCGTGCACGCCTTGAGTGTCAGGCTAATGGAATTGTACACCCTTCGAAGGTTTCATTACCATAGCAACCAGAACTCCTTATTGCTGGAGCGCATTACTTGTTATCCTCTGACCAGATCAACAGACAGAACAATCACATGTGTGAGGAATATTGTAGTTCCATTGTATGCTGTTCTAATGTGACATCATTATTTCCACCAAATCATGTCCACCATTGTTGTTTGGTTTCTGGCTAGCAAACTAACTTAAATACAGGTTAATCAGGAGAAAGGATTTACAGTTATATTTTCAGGGGTTTGATGAAAGCAACATTAAAGACGTTTTTTAACTGGTGTTGTTGATTACACTAGTTTATTGCATATATATACACATGACATTTATCTCTCCCCAACTTACAACTTGTGATGTCTGCGATGTCAGAAAAAAGGGGACTTGTATTTTGTTACTAGGAGACATTTGAATTGTTACTAGACGACATGTGTTACTATGGGATATGTATTGCTTTATGTAAAACCTGGGTAACATTCTGCATAGACTTTGATAAAAAAACACTTTTACCTTTATAGTTACATTAAGTTAGGAACTAGATAATTAAGACAGGGTCCTAGTCATTTTGGACAAACTTAATATAAAACCTTCCTGTTACATAGGCTTTGGCCATGCTCTGGCTAAGCGTATGGCTTCTGTGGGTGTGACTGTGTATGCTGGTTGTCTAAACCCTGAAGGAGAGGGAGCCAAACTTCTTAACAAAGCATCTTCAAGTGAAAACATTCACATCATCCCACTCGATGTCACATCAGAAGAGTCTGTGATGAATGCTATTGATGTTGTAAAAAAGAAAACAAAAGATGAAGGTAAATTACTTTTACACTATTAACATTAAATATATTATGACACAAATTGTTTTTAGAAAATTGAAGTTTTCATTCCCACAAGTGTGATTGAGAAGATAAAAAGGCAATGAGTACTGATGAATGTATTTTTTTATAAACAATTTACAAATAAAAAAGTCAGTAGGGTTAATTCCTGAATTGAGCACATAAATATGTGGACTTGTTACATGTACAGTATACACTTGATGTTACCTCAGGTCTGTGGTCACTGGTCAACAATGCCGGGGTCAGTTGTCTGGTTGATGTCGAATTCTGTTCCATGGATATGTACAAAAATGTGACAGATGTCAATTTGCTTGGGACAGTAAGGGTTACCAAGGCTTGTCTCCCCCTGATCAGGAAAGGTCAAGGTGAGAATAGTGTATGTGTGTCACCTTTTACACATCCAGCCACTGTTACAGGTATTGTTTATGAGACTTAGGAAGAACTTTGTGATGTTTTGTTACATTATTGTGTATATGAGTTTGGAAGATGGCTTTGTAAATGAGGTAAGAATATGATGACGATCATGCTTTGATCTCAGGATGTACTTTTAGGTATAGGGTACTTTTCACAAGGTAAGTACAGTTAGGTTAGTGACAGCATCAACACCACAGTAGAAATGTTATTACATTAACAGGTAGGCTATAATAGAACTATAACGAAACTTGTACAAAATCTAAATGATAGGCCTGTTTTGGCAGTTATAGGGTTCTGTGTGGGGCATGGAGTAGACTAGAAGGGAACCATGAAAACTGAACAAAAGGTTCTACAATGACACTACCTGAACATTTTTGTGTTTTAGGAAAATTTACTGCCGCCACTGTACATTGTACACAAATATGCTGACCATGATATTTTGGAGAATCGTGTTTTTTATGTTGATTACAGGGCGGGTCATAAATGTGACCAGTGCTGCCATCTGTTACCCCTACCAGTCTGCCCACGCTATGACAAAGGCAGGGTGTGATGCCTTCTCCAACAGCCTACGTAGGGAAATGCACAAGTTTGGTGTACGGGTGATCACTGTAGAGCCAGGCAATTTCTACGGGGCCACAGGATTTCTTAACAAATCCACTGTAAGTAGAAATACACATGCCATGTTTAGAATCAATATGTTCCATGTATCAAGATGGTAAAGGAACCAAGCAATGGTTGTCATCGGACTGTTATCACGCTGAAGCGTGAACGGCACCATATTTGAAATAATTATCAATCCGTCAAGCCTTTTTTCACTGCGTTTATGCTAATTTATACACAGTCAGAGTCTACTAAGCTGAAAAAGGGAGACATGTAAATATTTAGAAATGAGATTTACTCCTGTTGTTGTCTTTCCATAGATGACCGGTCTGGAGAAAGAACAAGAGCTGGTGTGGGAGAAGGCTCGGCCTGAGGTAAAGGCAACATATGGTGAGAACTATTTCACTGGCGTACAGCAGTCCTTATCCAGCTTTGCTGGGACCAGCTGTAACTCTCTGGGTCCAGTTGTGGACACGTTAGAGGAAGCCATAGTGTCTACCAGGCCAGGATCTCGCTACCTTGTGGACGGAAGCAGTCTGCTGTTTGATGTACACAATGTAAGTATAAAATAGATCTTATAAAAATGAAAGTGTTTAGCTCCAAAGGAACAAATTACACCCTCGGTGATGTTAACCCCGCTAGTTCAGTACTTTGTGTTGGCGTAGGTTAATCCTTGGCTTCTATGTTTTGGTAGGTCCTCCTGAGACTGGGTTGGTTGATACCTCAGCAGTGTGTGGACTACATCCTAGAACGAGAATTTTCCAGTAGTCAGTCTCCTCTTCTCAAAACCAAGAAAACCAGCTGACCTTGATCAGCCTTCAGCCTATTTAGTACATGTTTATTTATTTATGTGATGTCTTGTAATAAATGTAAGCTCTAGATTGATGTCTTCCTTTCTCCTTTTCCAGTCACTGTTGTCTCCCTTTACATACAGCTCATTGAATTGGTTTACAAGTTTTGTAGGCTCAAAGGTTAAGGAGTACTTCATTTTAAAATCACTTTGACCTATATATTGAACGTGTCACTGACTTCAGTTAGCTTTTGCATTGAACTTCATTTCTCAGATGGTTAGACTCGACTAAAATCAGAGTGTGGGCATTTCTACATTTGAGATTTCCTTGTTTCAATGCAGATTGAAGTCTATCAGTAATAAATGCAGGCTGAATAACTTATTGGTACCTCCTGGTACACTTAAAATAGACTCTAGGTAATCAGCTGTGACAGGTAAACTCCTGGTACTTAAAATAAACTCAAGGTATTCAGCTGTGACAGGTAAACTCCTGGTACTTAAAATAGACTCTAGGTATTCAGCTGTGACAGGTAAACTCCTGGTACTTAAAATAGACTCTAAGTAATCAGCTGTAACAGGTAAACTCCTGGTACTGAAAATAGACTCTAGGTAATCAGCTGTGACAGGTAAACTTCAGATACTTAAAATAGACTCTAGATAATCAGCTGTGACAGCTAAACTCCTGGTACTTAAAGTAGACTCTAGGTAATCAGCTGTGACAGGTAAAATCCTGGTACTTAAAATAGACTCTAGGTAATAAACTGTAACAGGTAAACTCCTGGTACTTAAAATAGACTCTAGGTAATAAACTGTAACAGGTAAACTCCTGGTACTTAAAATAGACTCTAAGTAATCAGCTGTAACAGGTAAACTCCTGGTACTTAAAATAGACTATAAGTAATCAGCTGTGACAGGTTAACATACAACTTCGAAAGAGTATCCTGAGAATAACATTCACATTTAAAACATAATAACTCTCAATCCAGACTGAATGTCTATAACTTTGCAACCTTCTGACAACCTTAGCCAAATCGAACAATCACAGAAATAGTAAAATAGGGAAGGTACTAGAGTAGTTTTAAGAATTGTGAAACGACTGAAATCGCTGGTTCGTTTAAGTGAGTTTGCCAATCGTCCTCCTCCTTACTTTAAACTGATTTTTTGTACGATTTGTTTCCATTGAACCTTCTTCGGGAATGTACAAGATTTAATGGATTCATACAAATAATTTTGTAGACCATACTTATGTAAAATAGACCATACATTTGGAATTAAACCATCGGTACTCTTGAAAATTTGATAATACATATGAAAACCCCCAATAATTATTTAACGCCACCATGTGGCATAAGAGTGCACAGTGATTGGTCTACTCTAGCAGTAAGTCAAGTTAAACCCAACGTTCCTAAACAGTTGTCAGACCTAGTACATTAGACTAAACAGTTGTCAGACCTAGTATATTAGACTAAACAGTTGTCAGACCTAGTATATTAGACTAAACAGTTGTCAGACTTAGTACATTAGACCAAACAGTTGTCAGACTTAGTACATTAAAGGACACATTGAAGTCAGTTTACACAGATTTAAAAACTTTCTTAGCGACACTAATCCGCACTGGAGTGAAGAAATCATAGTCTGCATCTGTATTGACTACGTGGTAAAATGACAGATCTATACAGCCGTAAACCAACTAAAGGGTTGATATTCTCTTATATCAGTTGGGAACTGAGAAACCAATACTCCTGCTACTTATTACAGACTCTATCGATTCAACTTTACGTATACTCTGACAAGTAAATCCCTGGTACTTGGATAATGTTTGAAATAGCAAAACGACTGTGACATGTATATTGACTGGAATTGTTACTACAGAGAAAAGGAATGTGAACCATCGTGAAATAAAGGTGGTCACGTTTGAGTGTGGTTGTTGGTGGCTGTTATTTCCAGACTGTAAGTAAATGTCAGGCACAGTAGAAGAAGCAGAAGAAGAGGAGTTGTTATATGTTAATTTGTAAGTTCTCGGGGAGGAATTAAGTGCAAGAAGTTTCCGAAATTCTTCTTATTGGAGAACAATTCTTACATGTGTCTGAGTGTGGAATTAACGTACTAACCAAGTATCTTATCTAAAATGCAAGTTGCATACAGCAGCAATAAGTTTACCCATTCTGTCTTATACCCTCTACTTAGACAGGCTTTTCCAACATGATGTACATTCCATCCAAAATCAACAGACGATGTAATTAGACGAGTCTACATGCTTAGTAAACTATTGTGTAAGCTGCTCGTCTATTTACAGCATCACATTCTAACTACCTCACACTTACACATCAGCAGTGTAAACCCGATTTCCCCAGCTGATGTAGAGATTACTACGCATTGTGATCAGTTTGACTCGAGTTTCGCTAGTCGTTTCCTTGCTGGATTTGAAGGGATTAGCCCTGATCATAACAAAATGGGTGGATAACCTCTGACCTCTACGTGACAAGGTAGACTACGAGTTTTGCTATCAGACAATACCTAACTGGACATGATATGGCAGCTAAAACAAAGGGGTGACATCATCCACTGTTCTCCTATTACATTACATGGCAGGAGGACCAATGAAATACTATTTTTTATTATTTTGATGTCGATTATTTCCCTATAGCTGTCCATTATTTATCAGTAGCTGTTTGATAATGGACATCTATTGGCCTAATGGTGGTAGTTACGGACAAGAAAATAATATTTGTAAGCATCGGCAAATTTTGGAAGAAAATGAACATTTAACTTACAACAAAATAGTGCTTTTGCCACATTCACGTACCTGCAATTGTAGGTTTAACAGTTAACTGTTATATTTGACCCAGAGACTATTCTAATTGACCATTACTTTTGAATTTGATAGAGAGAAAAAAACAATTCTTTGCGAAGGAATCAATCTGACATACTGTTGTAAATCATACTTAACTAGAGAATAATCCAATGAACATTTAAAAGCTATGGTATATTTGATTGATGGGAAAATCTACAGCTAAGTCAAGGTCCAACCTATCTTCAATTATCCATACTTACAAGTTAAGTTAATATTCCTAATGATAGCAGGGTTTGGGGTTTTCACGCTCCGTGTCAATAATTTGTCTGAATTTATCATGGCGGTTGAAACGAAACTGGCATTTTTAGTAAACTTTAATTTTTGTTCGCTGTTCTTGTGTTGATCAGCATACCATACCTTTGAAAATCTTTCAGAAACAAGTTAAAAGTGATATTGTTATTCTGTGAAAAATTGAACAGAGTGTGGCCCTACGGACCTCGATCAGTCCATGGACAGATTGTGGCCCTACGGACCTCGATCAGTCCATCCTGTCACAGCATGGACGGTTTTTCGGCCTTTTCTTTTTTAGTGGGAAGTCCAGCACATGGCTGTTATGACTTGGTACCGTACATGGGCAAATAAGTAGAAATCAGTTGGCGGAAGAATGACAGCAAACTTGTATCTAACCCAGACTCCTTCCATCCTGATTTCTCTTTAACTGGACAGCCTGAGCTTCACGAACTGCCGGAAGAACATCATCCACACGATGATATGTTGTCGGTTGTGCACGACTTTTATGAAGTTGAACGGTCTTTTAAAGAAGTATTTTGTGGTTGTGGACGCAGTCACAATATGGAATTCTAATAAACGTCTTAAAATATTTTCCAACCTTGAAAGCGATTTCTTGAGATAAGGGTGGAGCTTTCTCGATTTGAGACTATGCACTTGTGTTCTAGGGAATAGTTTTGGGGAAGTTTCCTCGCAAAGGGGGTAGAAATTACCCTATTTTCGATGAAACTTCCCCATTCCCGGTAGGACTTCCCTATTCCGGTAGGATTTCCCCATTCCCGGTAGGACTTCCCCTTTTCTGTGAAATTTCCCCTTGGTCCGCTGAAACTTCCCCTTTCCGCTGAAACTTCCCCTTTCTGCTGAAACTTCCCCTTTCCGCTGAAACTTCCCCTTTC